ACTCTTTTTATTGTTCCATCTGACTTAAAAGATAACTGCATAAAGCAATAATTATAAAACTGTGTTGATAGGCTTACAATCTAGAAAGATGTAATTTGTATGACAATAATAGAAGAACAGAGCTAAACAGGAACAAAGGCTTTGAATATTATTGAAATTAAGTTGGCAGTAATACAAACCAATTTGTTTGAGCTAAGGTGTTAATTATAATCCCCAGGGCAATTACTAAAGGAATAACAAAAATAGTAAAAGAAGCAACAAGTTAATTAAAATGATATACTATAAAAAACCTATTTAACATGAAGGAATAAATGGACTAGCAGAGGAACAAAAAAGATATAAAACATACTGAAAACAAATAGCAAAATGGTAGATGTAAATCCTACCTTATCAACAGACTCCAATTAAATACATTAAATATAAATTAACACTCTACACAATTAGAAGAATGAATTAAAAAAAGAAAATATGATCTAACTATTTGCTGTCTACAAGAGATGCACTTTGGTTATTTTTTAAAGGTTGAAAGTAAAAGGATAGGCAAAGATATTCCACGCAAAAAAGAATCAAAGTAGAACAGGGTAAAAGAAATTTGAGTCTTCTCCCTTTTCCCTTTGTTAAGTCTAGCTAAAGGATTGTGAATTTTGTTGGTCTTTCCACAGAAGCAACTTTTTTAAAAAATTTACTTATTTAAATTTTTTAAAATTGAAGTACAGTCAATTACAATGTGTCAATTTCTGATGTACAACACAATGTCCCAGTCCCATATATACACACATATACCCGTTTTCACATTTTTTCAATTAAAGGTTATTACAAGGACACCATGAACTCTTCTACAAAACAGAACCAACTTTTGATTTTGTTGATCTTTTCTATTTTTTGAATTCTATATTTCATTTACTTTTGCTCTAATTTTTATTTCCTTCCTTAAGCTTTATGTGGGATTAGGTTGTTCTACTTTTTGTAGTTTTTTTCCATCAAACTTTACTTTTTAAAGCAGCTGTAGGTTCACAGCAAAATTGAGGGGAAGTTAAAGAGATTTCCCACATACTCCCCTGTCTGCACATACACTTAGCCTCCATCATTATTAATATCTCTCATTGGAGTAGAGTATTTATTACAACTAATGAACCTACACTTAACACATCATAATTACCCAAAGTCTATAGCTTACATTACCATTTACTTTAGTTATTGTACATTCTATGGGTTTGAACAATTTTTGAAGTTTTTTAAGGTAGAAGTTTTGGTTATCAATTTGATGTTTTTCTTCTCTATTAATATGAGCAATTTACAGTTTTAAACAGCCCCCTAAGTGTTGCTTCTACTGCATTTGTTATGTTTTGTATTTTCTTTTCATTTACCTCAAAGTATTTTCTAATGTCCCTTGTGACTTCTTTTTGATCCCTTGGTTATTCAGTAGAGTGTTGTATAATTTCTGCATATTTGTAAATTTCCTAAATGTCCTTCTATTATCGATTTCTGATTTCATTGCACTGTGAATGGAAGTGGTGAGAATGGACATCCTTATCTTATTCCTGGTATTGGGAGGAAGATTTCAATCTTTCACCACTAATTATGATGTTAATTATTAACACCAATATATGGCCAATTGATTTCTGACAAAAATGCAAAGGCAAGTAAGTGGAGAAAGAATACTCTTCAACAATTGGTACTGAAGTAATTGGACATTCATAGGCACAAAAGTGAACTTTAACATAAACCTCACACCTTATATAAACATTAAGTCAAAATGAATCATAGGGGTAAATGTAAAATAAAGAACTATAAAATTGTTAGAAGAAAATAAAGGAATAAATCTTTTTCCATAATCTGGTGTTAGAGTTCTTAGACATGAAAAAAAGCATGAGTCGTGAAAGAAAAAAATGGATAAACTGGATTCTATCAAAATTTAAAATATTTTCTCTGAAGCAAAAAATTTATACATTGAAAACTACTTAGGAATAAACTTAACCAAAGAGGTGAAAGACTTGTGCACTGAAAATTACAAATGTTGCTGAAAGAAATTAAAGACACAAATAAAAGCAAAGACATTCCGTGTTCATGGATTGAAGACTTAATAGTGCTAAGATGTCAGTACTACGCAAAGTGATCTACAGACTCAAAGCAATCCTATCAAAATCCCAATGATGTTTTTTGCAGAAATAGAAAAATCTATCCTAAAATTCATATGTAATCTCAAGGGACCCAAAGAGTGAAAACAATCTTGAAAAAGAACAAAGTTGGAGGTCTCATACTTTCTGATTTCAAAACTTACTATGAATTTACAGTAGTTAAAACAGTGTGGTGTTGGCATAAATACAGATATATGTGCCACTGAAATAGAATGGAGAGCGTAGAAATATACTCTCTTACTTACAGTCTAATGATTTTCAAAGAGTGTACTAAGACCGTTCAATGGGGAAAGGCAGTCTTTTCAACAAGTAGTACTGGGAAGTCTAGATATGAACATGTGAAAAATGAAGTTGGACCTTTATATCATGTACAAAGTTAACTCAAAATGGATGAAAGATCTAAACATAAGAGCTAAAAGTAAAACTTTCTGAAGATAATACAGGAAAAAAGCTTTATGGCATTAGATTTGGCAATGATTTATTGGATGTAACCCCAAAAGCACAGAGAAGAAAATAAAAATTTGACAAACTGGACTTCATCAAAAACAAAAACTTCTGTTCATCAAAGGACACTATCAACAGAGTAAGAAGGCAACACACAGAATCAGAGAAAATATTTGCAAATCATATATATGATAAGGGATTAATATCCAAAACATATAAAGAATTCCTACAACTCAAGAACAAATAAACAACCCATTTAAAAAATGGGCAAAAGACTTTGACAACCTTGTATATTGCTGGTATGAATTCAGAATAGTATACCCTCTATGGAAAACAGTATGGCAGTTCCTCAAAATATTAAAGACAGAATTACCATATGATCCAGCAATTCCACTTCTGGGTATATATTCAAAAGAATTGAAAGCAGGGACTCAGTTAGTTGTACATCCAGGTTCATAGCAGCATTATTCACAATAGCCAAAAGGTAGGTGTAATACAAGTGTCTAAAGACAGATGAATGGATAAACAAAATGTAGTATATATATATATATACAATGGAATATTCAGTCTTAAAAAGGAAGGAAATTCTGACACATGCTCCAACATGGATGACCTTGAAGATATTATGCTAAGTGAGATAAGCCAGACACAAAAGTACAAATACCATATGATTCGAGTTACATGAGGCACCTAGAGTAGTCAGATTCATGGCGAGAGAAAGCAGAATGGTAGTTGTCAGGGGATGAGGGTGGGGGGAATGGGGAGTTAGTGTTGAGTGGATATAGGGTTTCAGTTTGAGAAGATGAAAAAGTTCTGGAGATGGATGGTGATGATAGATGTAGAACAATGTGAATATACTTAATGGCACAGAACTGTACACTTAAAAAATAGTTAAAATGGTCTATTTTAAATTAGGCATATTTTACCACAATAAAAAAAGCTTGCTCTGCAAAAGACACTGTTAAGAGAATGAAGAGACAGGCTACAGACTGGGATAAAATATTTGCAAATCATATATCCAACAGAGAATTGTGTTTAGAATATATAAAGAATTCTCAAAAGTCATCAGGAAAAATAATTAAGAAACAGCAAAAGATTTGAACAGACACTTCAGCAAACAGGATAGAAGGATGGCAAATAAGCATATGAAAAGATGTTCAATATCATTAGCCATTAAGGAAATGGGGCATATATTCAAAAGAATTGAAAGCAGGGACTTGAACAGATAGTTGTACATCCAGGTTCACAGCAGCATTATTCACAATAGCCAAAAAGTAGAAGTAACACAAGTGTCTAATGACAGATGAATGGATAAACAAATTAAAACTACAATGAGATACCACTTCACAGCTATTAGAATAACTAAAATAAATACCAACAATACCAAACGCTGACAAAGATGTAGAGCAACTGGAACTCTCATACATTGCTGGTGAGAATGCAAAATGGTTCAGCCACTCTGGAAAATGGTTTGGCAGTTTCTTATAAAGTTAAATAAACACTTACCATATGACCCAGTAATCCCACTCCTAGATATTTACCTTAGAGAAATAAAAATTTTATGTTCACACAGAAACCTGTACAAGAATATTCTTATCAGTATTATTCATAATCACCATAACCTGGAAACAGCCCAAATTACTTGAATGGGTGAATGGATAAACAAACTTTGGAACATCCATACAATGGAATGCTACTCAGAAAAATGAATGAACTATTGATACACACAACAACTTGGATGAATCTCAAAGGCATTATGCTGAATGAAAGAAGCCACTTTCAAAAAATTACATATCATATGATTTCATTTATACGACATTCTCTAAAAGACAAAACCACAGTGATGGTGAATAGATCAGTGATTGCCAGAGATTATGGGTGGAATTGGGGGTGACTGTCAACGGATAGTATGATGGAGTTTTAGGGTGATGGATCTGTTCTCTATCCTGATTGTGGTGGTGGGTACATGAATCTACGTGATTTACACGATTTATAATTCACAGAATTGTACACGCCCCCCACAAAAAAACAGGCAATTTTGTTTAAGTTCATTTTCAAAATAAAGTAAAATATTAGCTATTATATCATCATCATCATCATCAATAGGTATACTTTACTGATTAATAAAATATTCATAATTAGTTATAAAATAGGATCTAAATTCATTAAGGTCATTTTATGCTTTGTACAATAACTTAAAGGTATAAAGAAAAAATCAATAACACTAAATGTAAAAGCTTTACAACCTACTAACTCCTCTCTTTAATATTCTGTATTAGGATAATATGCTCCCTGTGGATCATCTCCTGTAAACATTGTCATATACTGAATATGGAATCAAATAAGCACTCAACTTAGAAGTCTGGGACCCTAGGTTACATTCCTAAATCTAACACTGTAAGAAAACTCTCGACTTGCCTTTTGTGCCTAATTTTATCTTCCTCTTCATTGAGGTCATGTACTTGTCTGCACTTGTCTTTTTGTGGTATGCTGTGAAGGTTTAAAGCAAGGAGTTTCAAAGATAGGAAACAGAACAGATTCATACACCACCCACCCACCCCAAATACCAGGTACTGCTTTAAGTGATTTACACGTATTACCTCACTTAATCCTCTTAACAACCCTGTAATATAGCTACTATTAATCTCATTTTACAGATGAAGAAAATGAAGCATAGAGCAGTAGCTCACCCAACATCTTACAGCTAGTAAGTGGGGGATCCAGGATTTTCCCAGCAGTCTGCCTCCAGAGCCCATGTTCTTAATCAGTATGATATGATGTCTCTCCACTAAAGGTTATTCATTTTTTTGCTCATTCCTTCCTTCACCACTGCTCTTCCATGTCTATGGTCTCTCTGTCTCTGCCAAATCATTCATTCGTTCCCTTGGCTTTACCTATCATCTAAGCAAAGGTGATTCCCAGTTCTACGGATCTGGTTCTGCCCTCTCCCCAGAGCTTCACCGCTGTATTTCCTCCTCAGTATCTGCATTTGATGATACTGCCTGTCTCACAAATTCAACACATTTAAAATCAAACTCATCATCTATCCTCAAAATTTCCCCTTAAAGGCTTTCTTAATTTTACCAACTGTTAAGTCACAGCCTTGAAACACCTGGGTTATCTTTAGTGCCTTCCTCTCCACTGACCCTCCTCCTTCATTCTCAGTCAACAAGTTTTCCCAATTCTTCTTTTGTAATGTGTCTTACAACCACACCCACTTCTCTTTCCAATTCCATTGCCCTCACCCTAGTCCAGCTCTTCCTGCCAAAATGACTGTAATACCTCCAAAATCATTCTCCCCGATTCCAGTTCTTCCCCTCTTGCATCTTATTTCTTGGCCATCAGATTAATCATTTTCATATATTGCTTTTGCCATGTTACTCTTGGCTCAAAGACCTTTAACCATATCCAAAATAACAAACTAACTCTGTATAGGTCTACACTACCTACCAAATAAAGTTAAAAAATTTTAGCTACCTTTCTAACCTCATCTCTCACAATACCTCCGAGCAGACCATAATGATCATACCATCTGCTACAAGTGAAATGCCTGTCCTTCTTCCAGAAGACTTGGTAGTATGAAAAGAACATTTAAATCTTACCTCCTCTGAGAGGCCTTTTTCAGTCAGGCCAAGGCACAGTGGCCTTTCCCTCCTCTGAACCTCCTAGAGCACTTAACAACTGTATCTAGCATTGTTACTGAAGCTTACATGTTTCCCTTTCCAACCAGACTGCAAATGATACAAAGTCAGGAACCATTTCTTAAACATCTGTGCACCTTCCGCAGTGCCTAGAAAAACTTATCTGTTAAACTCATTTTTTCTAATTAAGACACACGCCATTTACCTACATATTTTGTGCTAATTTATCATTCAGCCTAAAGACCCTTCACAATCTAGCTTCACCTACCCTTCCAGGGCCATCTCCTGTCAGCCCCCACCATGTCCTATACTTCCTGTCACACCGAACTTTTCCTTGTTCCCTAGATGCACCAGGTTCTTTCACAATCCTGTGCCTATTCAGCCACTATCTGTAATGCCCTCTCTCCCTTATTCACCTGACAAATGCCTGTTGATCTGTCGAGACTTGGTACAAATGTCCACTCCTGACCTTCCCAACTAGACTTAGGCGTTCTATGTCCTGTGCTCCCTCAGCATTTTATCCACGTCTCTATAATAGCAATCTCCACGTTGTACTGCAACTAACTATGCACGTATTTGTCTTTCTCATGGGACTATACATTCCTCAAGAGTAGCGAAAGTTCATCTTTCCCCTACTTCCTCCACTAACTCTTCATAGTTGATGCCCTAATGTTAAATCTTTCTGTCAGTGAAAGAACATATCACATCAGTGGCGATCACATACCTTGGTAGTAAAGAGCCTTAAGGAAGGAGTGACGATCAGCTCCCTGAAATAAGGAATTTTCTATTTCCATTTCTCGCCGGGTCAGCTGTTTGCTCTTTGCAAATCTCTGCGGCAGGCAAAGGATGCGCTGACGCTCTGAGATCCTTTCTTCAATATCTTGAAGACGGTTCTGTATTGCTTCAGGGGTTGCTCTAACTCTCGTCCTCTGAAACCAGAGAAATGAGATGGCATATATCACAGAGGACACACCCTGAAAGTGATGATCTGATGCCTTAAATAAGAAAGAAAATGATCAGGGCCCATAAATGATCATTTATAGACATGTTAGCTGAGAAGTCAAGGAACAGCTTCTCTTTTAATGAGGTCCCTATCCTAAAAACCAAAGGAAATTCAGACACAAAGTTCAGTGTTGTGAGAACTCAAAATGAAAAGGTTCTCAGTGCGAAATGAAGAGATCTCACTTTTTATTCTCCAGAAAAAAATTGCCCCACTCACCTTTTCACCTGAAACATGACTCTTCCAGATCAAGATTTCCGTTTCATTGAGCCCTAGTTCCCTGAGAGAAGCAGTCTCCTGGTCCTTCTCATGCAGTGTCTGGAACTGGGACAAAGTCATAGTCCCAGCTGCTTCTTTCCCGAAGGGCTTGTACATAGTACCAGGAGCAAAGCTCTCTTTCTTAGATACACATCTGCAAAACAAACAGGAAGATTGGTTTTTCTACCTGTGAATTCCTACCACAATTCACAGAAATGGGGCTCATCATTAAAAAAAAGCCACAGTGAAACCCATCAGCCAATTTCTCTCTCACGTCCTATTTCTAGGCTGAAGCACCACTGCAATGATATGGGACTCCATCAATAGTCATAGTCCCCTAGAGTCTAAGACTAACAAATGACTGAATCAAATATTTATTTACTGAGCACCTACTACGCATCAGATACTGTGCTAGGTACTGAGGATTTAACAGTAAAAAAGATAAAAGTGGTTTCTGCTTCTGTGGAAGAGAAGCAAGTAAACAGGCAATGATAATACTGGATTATAAGTGCCATGTATGTTAAAGGAAGACACAGGAAAGGTACTTAGCCCAGACTGAGTGGGATACAGGAGGCTTCCTAGAGTAAGAGACACAGAACTGAAACCCTGCCTCATAAACAGAAGTTTGACAAGGAAAGAGGGATGGGAGAGGAGTGTTCCAGCCAGCCTTTAAGAGGCGTCTTTCACCTGGAGCTGAGGGTCTATGATACTGTTTGCAAAATCAATACCTACTCTTCAATGGAGACAGAGGTATCAAGTTGGTGCTGAAGGAGGCTTTTCAGCTGCCTCTCCCCTTCTGTTTCCAGCTCCTCCAAGACATGCTCATCACTCTTCACACAGCTATTTACCCTGGAATAGATACAAGAATATATACAGAAAGCAGAAGAGACAATGAATCTCAAAACAGATTCTACAGATTCTTTAGTCATATTATCTACCACTAGTGACTCCAATTTTTCAAAGATACTTCTCTAACTATTTGGTGGCCTTTATCATTCATTCCACAAACATTTACTGAATACCTGCTCACACACAGTGAATGCACTGTGCGGGGTACTGATGGAGTCAGATATTCAAGACATAGTCCCTATCCTCAAGAAGCTTGCAATTTATTTAGGGAGAGGTAACAGATATGTATGTATGCTGTGCATGTGCTTGCAGAGGTGGGCGGAGAGAGAGACAAAAGGAGGGAGAGGGAGGGAGAAAGAGGAGAAGAAAGATTTAAAGAAGCATATGCCGAATTAGGAGTTCACAGAAGAGATAATTGGGAGGAAGGGTGGTAAATGAACACTTGGGAAAGGTAACTCTTACACTGGCATTTGAAGGATTGGGTGCGATGAAGGAAAGAACAGGGAGAGCAAGCATGAAGAGACAGAAATATGATCTGGGGGATAATGAGAAGTTCAATTTAGCTGGCATTCATGTATGGAAGCATTGGAAGATCATCTTAGAGGGGTAATTAGACTGTGAATGGCCTTAAATACACCAACTCAGAGGCCTGGACCTTAATGTACAGGTATTAGAAAGTAATTTATTAGGCAGTTAAGTGACACAGTACAAGTGATGGTTTAGGAAAATCAATGTGGTTATAATAAGCTTTATGGGTTAGTAAGAAAGAAACCAGAAGAACTAGTTAGAAAATTATTTAAATTTATCAAGCATGAGATGATGAAAATCCAAACCTGAGTGGTAATAGTGGAAAGAGAAAGGCCCTTTGATGGGAGGGGTAAGGGAGAAGTGAAAGATAACCCCAAATTTCAAGCTGTGTAACAGAGAGAATGACAGGACCGACGAAGGAAAGAGGAAGTTCCGGATGGACTGAACGGTTTGGGAAAGAGAAGTCACTATTGTTTCAGCCGTGTTGAGTCAACTACCTATTACAACCGAAACAGCAGCATGAAGTAACAGGAATATATCAAAGACGTATTAAGTCCGAGGTGACAGAATGTGATATTAGCTAAAAGGAAAGTAAGAGATAGGAGGATTGTTCCATAGATGAGAGTCTGAGGCTACACATGGAAAAAGTCTTCAGTCATCTGTGTGGTCAGGATCTGGAGCTGTGAGAGAGGAAAAGATCACCAAAGGAGAGAGTATAGAAACAAAGGTGCACGGACTCATAATATTTTATAGTTTAAGCACTACTGTGTAGAAATCTAGGTATCGCTAATATGAGCTAACTAACTCTGAGTGTAAAGAAATAGCAGGACCACCTGAGTATGCAACAACAGATTATAAAAGACAAAAACAAAATGAGTTAACTCCATGAGGAAAATAAATATTAAATACCTTCCTTAAAAAATAGCCCTTTAAAAAAATAGCTCTTTACTATTGGGGTTATGAGGAGGCCTAGAAGATGTATGTCTTATAATTATAAGCAAGATTCCCATACTCTAGAAAGACTTATACCTACTTTGGGAAAAAAAATTTTAATTGAGTTATAGTCAGTTTACAATGTTGTGTCAATTTCTGGTGTACAGCACAATTCTTCAGTCATCCATGAATATACATATATTCATTTTCATATTCTTTTTCACCGTGAGCTGTATGATATTGAATATATTTCCCTGTGCTATACAGTATAAACTTGTTTATCTATTTTATATTTACCTGTCAGTATCTGCAAATCTCAAACTCCTAGTTTTGAAATATCCAGAAGCCCAGGGTTTTCAAAAATCCCTTTTAAGTATCTTAATTTTAGCTATTATTTAGAATTCTGAAAGTTCTTGCTAAGTTTCAAGTGGCTACGAAATGAAAAAAAACATAGCTAAATACATCAGAACACAAGAATTTCAAAAAGAAATGTAGAGTGAAAAAAGGAAGTCACAGAAAAATTCACACAATATGTGTCCATTTATACAGAGTTGAAAATTGGATAATACTAGCAATATTTTGTTTAGATATAAGTTCATATGTGGTAAAAATATTTTTTTTAAAAAGCAAGGGACTGATTAATGCAAAATTTTGGATAGTGGTCCCCACAGGAAGCACTTAGGGACAGGCACACAGGGGGCTTCTGACTGGTAATGTTCTATTAATTCTGAATCAATGGTCCTGTTGTATCTGTTGATACAGTATCTATCACACTGATTCAGTTAATGTTCTATTTCTAAATCTTGTAGTGGGTCCAAGTCTATTATTATTCTTTAACTTGTATATATATATTATTTTGCATGTATGAGATAGAGCATAAACGTTTCAAGTCATTTTGAGGCAGGAAAAATCAAACACTTTTTTAAAAGATGCAGAAACTGACAGTGCAGGAGAGCATAATTACTAGTAAGGATTTTAAATGCACCACTCTATTCCAGAGTGATTATTCTACTTCCAGAGTGAATACAAAGCTCACTTAATGTGGACCCTTTAAAAAGGCTTTGTGTACAATCAAGAACTGTGAAGCTCAGGCTTCCAACAATGACCAGACACGTTAAAGCTGCCATTTCTTGCAGAACCAGTAGGGGGAACTGCTAGCAGCAGCGCCTGTCTTTCTATAATAAATGGAACCGGTTTGATACTTTGCTTCTAAATTTGTAGAAACAAAGTATCACTTGCTTACTTTAAGATCCGAATGCGCTCCATGCTCTCGGAGCCCCATCAAGTCCCCTTTCATACACAATACTGCAAATAATTGCGCCCACCCTGAGCCCCTTACTGAGGATAAAGTGGAGGTAGGGCGGGACAGCGAGGAGCTGGCCCAGGCTTCCCCGGCGCTGGCCGGTTTCATCAGTCAGCCAAGACCTTTTTACCCGGGTGGGTCCATCTGAAATAGGAAGAAGCTACAGCATCCATCCAGCTCCCAGGGCCGGCGCCACGGCCTAGGTGCCCATGCCGGGAGGGCATCCCTACGGGGACGGGCAGTGGCGGCGGCCGCCCTTCCTGAACTTCGCCCTACAGGCCTGTCCAGCCCGTCTCCCCTTCTCCCTCCTCCTTTGTCTCCCCGCCCACGCGAAACCGCATCCCCAGAACGAGACACACCCCAAGCCCAAAATATCAAAAACCATCTGAAAAGTTAAAACGTAGAACAGAGCTCCGTTCGCCGCCTGCTCTCAGACAGCCCTTACCTCTTCATGTTTCCACAGGCCCCTAGCTCTAACTTGGGTAAATAGGCCGTGGACTTCAAGTCCCAGAACTCTGCGCGGCCGACTCTAAGGGGATTGTGGTGAAGCGCGGGGCTCTGGGAATTGTAGTCACGCAAAGCTAGAAACCGAGAGTAGGTATTGAGCAACGGTATACTGTAAATTGTCCAAGCATTTCTATTGAATTTCTCATATAGGTTAAAGGCAACACCCAAAATATCCAGCTCATGAGCCTAGGAGTCTCCTTGGACTTCCTGATTATCTCCTTTGGTATCACCAAATCCTGTCCCCCACCCCCTAATTTCCCTGGGAATGTGTCCCTATCAGCCCTGCTTCTGCTTTCAAGGACTTCTTATCCCGCAACCTGCCTACTCGCTGTTTCCAGTTGAGCCTCTGGTCTATTCTCCGCAGTGTAGCCAGAGTGATCAGACACACGTTTGACTACATCACTTGTACTAATGGTTCTCCTCTATCTCCAACAGAGGCTTACAAGACATTGTACTTCCTATCCTGAGAATCAGAAACCCATGTGTATTCAGGCCCCTGAATGTTTTTATTGATAGTTACGGTGAATCAAGAGAGTGGTAGTTTACTGGTTAAGAGAATGGGTTCCTAGTTCCCGGAAATGGAAATACAAATGTCCTTAAATATATGAAAAGAAAGACGTTTAAAAAAAAAAAGAAAGACGTTTACTCACAAGTGAGATGTAAATTTCAAAGTACACTGACTATAAAATAACCTTACCTGTACTCCTCAAAACTGTCAAGGTCATCAAAAATATGGTAAGTCTGAGAATCTGTCACAGCCAAAGGAATCAAAGGAGACATGATGACTAAATGTAATGTGATCTCCTGGATGGGATCCTTGAACAGAAAAGGGGCCCTGGTAAAAACTAAGGAAATATGAATAAACCATGCATTTTAATTAAAAATAAGGTTCTTTAGTGTGACAAAATTACCAGAGTTACGTAAGTTGTTAACACTAAATAAAACTGAGTGGAGGGATACAGAACGCTGTACTATGTAACTTTTCTGTAAATCTAAAACTGTTCTAAAAAATAAAGTTTATTTTCTAAAAGTACATTAAAGTAACATTTTTCACTTACCAGATTAGCAAAAACTCACAAGTTGGAGAACACACTTGTTTTGTTGAGATTGAGAGGAAATAGGCATCCTCAATACATTGCTGGTAGAAACATAAATTGGTACAACCTCTGTGGAAGGCAACTTGAGGATTCAATTTAAATCATAAATGCACATTCCTTTTAGAACAAAAATTCAACTTATCCTCAGTTCTATGTATCAAGAAAGTAAGTATATATATCAAATTATTCACTGAAATATTGTTTATAATAACAAAATATTGGAAACAACTTAAATATCCACAAATGTTATACATCTATTGAATGGAAAACTATGCAGCAATCTTAAAGATGACAAAGTTCTCTATGGACTGCTTGCTACTGAACAAAGTCTAAAATATATTTAGTGGAAAAGCAAGGCCACAGAACAATGTATATAGTATGCTTCTATTTGAGTTTAAAAAAAAGAAGAAATATATATATGTGTGTTTGCTTGTATATGCAATAAAATACCTTTGGGAAAACAGACAAGCAGTAAGTAAATGTCTCCAAGTAGGTTAACTGGATGGAGATGGACAGGGTGGGAAAAACTTTTCACTATATCTTCTTGTATACTTTGAATTTTGAACCAGATGATTACATCACCTAGTCAACTATTTTTTAAATTAAAGAGAACCCTTCTTTTATCACCAAGGGCTAAAGAAGAAAAAGATCATGGGTTTTGGGGGGGAGGGTAAGGGGTCGAGCTGCTTGGATTCTGTTTTCATAGTTATTGACAACATAATATAGTAGGCAATCTGGACTTGAACTTTTACTTTGGCAAGTTAGAAGACTATGTAAGTTTCATTAAGTTTATTTAGCTGGTCTAGGCCAGCTTCCTCATCTATAAAATAAGGATGATCCCTCAGAATAACGTGGCTATAAAGTACTATACAAAAGAATGGGTTTAAAATCACTTGAAGAGTGGCCATCTATGAGCAAATATTCGAAGTTTACCCAGTAGGTATAGACTTATTCAAACTGTCTGTATTTCCATACTCAAGTTAGAGGATAAGACCAAAGAGCAGTTACTGGAAGACGTACTTCCTATCCTGAGAATTTCTAACAGATTGAAAATGTCATGGAATGTATTAGAGTTATCCAAAACCTATCATGTGCAAGTGACTGTGCTCTTGAAGCACACAGGTGAATGAATACAGTTCCAACATGCACCACTTTGTGGCTTTGGCACAGAGCAGGGACAGAATCTAAGCATAAACAAAGTGTGGGTCCTATCATAGCCTGCACCAGGTAAATCCTGTATGGTGGTGGGGCTGCATTCTGCCGCTCAACCAAACTGTCCAATTGACACACTGATCAACAAGGAAATGGTTGCTAGTGTGTTTGTCCCCTGGGAAGGTGGCAAAGGGTGGAACAAATATCACACTGACCACCACCACACCAGACTTGTGTATAACTTCTAATAAAACATACACTCTATTGATACTGAAGTAATACACACTACATTACAAATCCACTAGGTGGGATGAGTGGAGAATAAATGGCTAAAAAGACATACACGGGGTAGAATTACAACTAGAAAGCAAGGTCATAAGCAAGTACTCACCTGTGTTTAACTGTAGCCAATCTGAGTGGTAGGTACCAAGGGATAAACATTCAGAAAATCGTATTAGAAGGAAAACCAGGCTATTTCTAGCTCTGCCAAATTTACTAACTGTGGAGTAACAGCTATTCCATTTCCCATGGCATCCCTTGCTCCACTTCAAAAGGGTATCAGATGGTATATAAAAAGCTTTGAGATTTCTAGATGTTATTCATGGGCACAGAGATCTTACCATGAGGTAATTTCACAATTCCGCCTCAGAAGTATTTATGACAAATTGAAAAATATGCCTCATTTGTCTTTCTGACAATTTAACAAGGTTAGTTTAATTAAGCCAGAAGTTCCTCCTTAACATAGACATCTTTTCAGACTTTGTCCTTTTTAGGTGCTTTGTTCACAGCAGACTTTTGATGAATACATTATGAAGCAATTACAATTTCTAGATATGAAAGATGCTAAAACCAAAAATCTTCTCTTGAAGAGGGATAGCATCACTCATCTAATATTAAGAGTAAACAACTGTGCATGTCTTTCAAATTCCCCAAATGAGATAGCATAAATGCTGTTATAGAGAGAAAAAATATAGCATCTTTTTCAAAGACAAAAAATGTAGATAAGCACTAGAAAAGTGTCAGGACGACAAATTTAAGAATTCTACTTCAGCTAATAGCTTAGCTGGTTTTTAACAATGGTTAGGAAAGGTTCAAAACTCCAGTAGCTAACATAAATGTAACCCTCAAATTACTGGCAAGAATAGGTTATTTCTGATCTTTTAATTAATATTTGCCCAACAATGTCTTTTCTTTTAGACACATGTTAGAAACAGAGTCTGAAGGAACCTTAGAGATGACTTAGTCCAAGACTCTAGATTTCAAACAGTACACTGACATCTACCAGTAAACCTACAGTGTTACTGTATTCATCTAGAAGCCACTGCCATCAACCTGCCTCTTCTATGTCCTGGGGAAAAAACACTAACACTCCCAGTGCAAAGTCAACAGGAGTACTGTAGTCCCCTCTTTATTTTGTTGAGGAACTTTATACTAAGCATGTACTGGTAGTCAAAAGACATAATGGAGTCACAAAACTTCAGAGAAATGAAAACTAGTTTCCTCCAGTTGGGAAAACCTTATTATGGTCCAACTTTTTCACGTTACAGACAGATAAGAATGCTCCAAATGAAATTATCTGTCCACTTAATTAAGAAGGGACAAGAATAATTCCAGCATTTCCTCCTATATATTATGTACTTTTCTGAATGTAGAACTTAAAATATGCACAGAGTACAAGAGCTGAATCTCCGAAAACAACAGTAATAATATTGGACTCAAAAATTAAAGATTACTCAAGATTATACCCAAAAGCTGTAGAAATCATCCATAAAATTACATAGTCTTTGGATTATTTTCACATTTTCTAATTTTGAGAGGCAAGAAAAACTTACCTGATTAGAAGCTGCAACTTTGAGAAGTTTGGGTCGGAAATAAAAAGCCCATGTAAGTTCCGATATTTAGTTTACTCATAAGGTGATGTAAATTACTAATATTTCAAAAATGTCTTCCTTCCATAATATGTTCTCCTCAGGACGGTCATGTTCAGTCAGTACAACAGAAATTCAGCTCAGTAATTACAGGCAACTAAGCTAGTCACTCAAAAACTTTAAAGCAGTTTATTTTAGTGTTTTACTTTTCTTTTTTAGAGCACTGCCTTTATTTATGACTTAGGTAAAACATGAAACACAAGAGATCAAGCTATGAACAAGGCTTTTGCTTGAAAAACAGATATACAAATACACGAAACCAACAACTATAAATCATTTGCTAAAACCAAGTAGAACACCAGATTATCCATACATCAAAAATGAATTGCCTGAACTTTACCCTTTTAAAAATAACCTAATTCAAGCCCCAAATCCACCCTAACATTTCCTTCCTTCTCTGAATTTCTATAGCATACTTTCTGTAATTCATAGCATACTTCCCTGTACTGTCTATATTACTTTTATACAGACAGGTAGTAATTATATGTCAAAGTAGACAGTAAGTTCCTTTGAGGAGAGAGACTTCACAGTACCTAGCACTATATGCTGAATGTTAACAGGCACTCAGTAAAGACTGGCTGGCATCTATTTTTTTGGCAAACATTTCTCTATGAATGTATGCTGGTGGTAACATGGACTCTAGGAAAGTAAGACATGAATTAAACACACGGAGTCAACATCAAATAGGTTGCTGCCTAGACTGAAGGGCTGATATAGTTTTGATTTGCTATTACTTAAAGCCAAACTACAGTATAATTCTCAGTAGCACAATATTTAAGTGGAAAAAAATACACACACACTTTATTGCTACCAAAGATTGAATAATAACTGTAAATACTACTCTAATGAACACAATCAAAATTTGTAGGTAATACATAACCTAGAAACAACATGCTGAAGATATGGTCATTCAATCAAAAGCAATCACGACATTGCGTTCCTGCTCCTTGCGACAAGGATGCTCGAAAACCTCTGTGACCTCTTCCACCTTCCTTTGCAGCATGTCTGTGAGGGAAAAGTCATGTATCATTACTTGGAGGTCAAAATATCCTTGGATTTCCTGGGATAATAACTTACATTCAATAATGTAATAATTTACAATAATAATAATTTACATTCTCCCTCAACATGTGATTTACAAAACTTTACATGTCAATTTTAATAGCTTTGAGTATTTGAAAATACAGGAAAAAATGTGTCTATCTGGTAGGAGACTATGAATACAATGGACAAGACTGTTCTTGATTTGCCTCCTTAGCTTTCAGGTAAATAACAGTCTACTTGACATCTATATTTGGTTGAAAGGAAGTGTTAACTGCTTTTTACTCATTACAGCCTAAAAGTGCTATACAGGATGGTCATTGAATTGAATGTGTAGATTTTGGTAGGTCTTTGCTGCCTATAAGCAAATTATTACACTAAGTATAGTCACATTTCTGTTCCTTTCTAATGATTTATTTAACTTGGTGGTCCTCAAATTTGCTCAGGAGCAGAGCAACACAAAATACCATTAGTTTTACTGTGTAAAACAGTAACTTTCTGTAGTAAAAATAAGCTGTTGAAGTAAGTGTGATGATCTGAGTTTTTCTATTAACATGCACAAATAAATCTAGTCATTTGTTTTAGTGTTCGTTAATGCTCACTGGTCGATAAGCAATAACTGGTGCCAAAATTTTAAGAAAAACTTTACAAAAGAAAAACTAAAGATGTGAAATAATATACTTTCAATTTCTTCAGTCAGCTGGAAAAGCCCCAATGTTATGAAGCTTTTGAAGTATAATACCTCATCCTATCTTATGACACACAGGCATTCTCCAAGATCACACCTTTTAAGAACAAATGATTTAAATGATGGTTGTCTACTGAAAAGCTAGGAAAACAAACTGGCAAAAATACATCTTCTTTCTAGTGTAATAACTAACTGCAGGGTGCAATTTTTCCCCCTAAATAACATTTTTCAATGTGATAGAATCACAAATGAGCACTACAACAAACCATTAACTTGAGGCCAGAATTCTCAACATAAGCACAATCCAGTTAATTTGCTGATTGATACATATGAAATGCAAAGGAGTACATTTATAAAAATTTCAAAAATCAATGAAATGTCAAGAAACACAAGTCAGCATTATTAAGGGAGCCTTACCACAAATATTTTATCACATCTTCAAATTGAATTCTCAGGACTATTTCTGTATTAACATACTTTAAATTTTTTAGGAGTTTCATTCTTTAAGGGCCAAAACTGCACCTAGGCACTTAACTGCCCAGCATTCTGGTCCCGTGATATGCATCAGTAATTGTTCTCTGCAGGCTTATTAAATTATATATCATACTAGAAGTAAAATGCTACTAACAGTCAAAATTTGTGGGAAAATACACCATACACCCTTGACATTATTAAAAAAGTAATTGTACTGAACAATATGAAAATGAAATTAAGAAAACAATTCCATTCACAATAGCATCACAAAGAACTAAAGCACTTAGGAATAGACTTACCAAATGAACTATAAGGTCTATACACTGAAAACTTTATAGATTGCTAAGAGAAACTAAAGAACATCTTAAAAAAATGAAGAGATTCTCCATGTTTATGGATTGAAAGATTCAATAGTGTTAAGATGTCAGTTTTCCAGGAATTGATCTACAAATTCAATGTAATTCCTATGAAAATTCCAATGGGCTATTTTTGTAGAAACAGACAAGCTTTAACATTTATGTGGAAAGAAAAAGGACCCAGAATAGCCAAAACAATCTGAAAAAGAAGAATAAATTGCAGGAATTACACTACTCAATTTGAAAACTTATTACAAAGCTACAGTAATCAAGACAGTATGGTATTAGCACAGGCTGGCCACAGAGATCAATGGGACAGAAAGAATGCCCAGAAATAAAACCTAATACTTACAGTCAATTCATTTTTACCAAGGGTGCCAGGACAATTTAATGGAGGAAAGCACAGTCTTTTTGATCAAACAATATAGGGACAACTGCATATTTACATGGAAATGAAGTTGAACCCCTACCTCTAACTATGAACAAAAATCAACTCAAGGTGGATTATTGACCTAAATGAAAGAGCCAAAATTATATTTGGGAAATAAAAAACAAATGTCAATCAACTAATAAATGGATAAAAAAAATGGTATGTCCATATACTGGAATGCTACACAGCAATAAAAAAGAATGAAAGTACTGATATATGTTACAACATAGATGAGCCTTGAAAACATTAAGTCAGACACAAAAGGCCACATATAATATGATTCCATCTATTTAAACTCTCCAGAAAAGGCAAATCTACAAAGACAATAAATTAGTGGTTGCCTGGGGTTCAGAGTAGGAATGACAACCACAAATAGACAGGAGAGAACTTTTGGAGGTAATGGAAATGTTCTAAAAATGGATGGCATGATGTTTGCACAAGTATGTAGCTTTAGTTGAACAGCTATATTTAAAATAGCATATTTGTATGTTTGAAATATTTCTTAAAAATGACTTCTGGTAAAACTGCTTCTAGCTAGCCGCATTCTGTTGAGAGGACAGATGTTTTCTTTACCTTAGTCTGCTTGCAAATATTTTAGGTAAAGATTAAAAGACTTTCATAGAAAGCTATGAAAATCAGAGATTTGGTCATTAAACCCAAACACAGCTTTCTACTATAACTATTTTTATTTTAAGTTACACATATAAATATTGTTAGATAATATTAAATTCAATGTCAAAGGAAGCAATATATTCTCATAAACACTGCTATAGTATATCTTTTTTTCTCCTTTAAGAAAAACAACTGCGGCAGTAAGAGAAAAAATATTCTTACAAAAAATGGTCAAAAGACACAAATAGGCAACTAAGAAAATGAAATTGAAATTGTTTATAAATACTTTTTAAAAACTCAACGTGACTAATAATCAGAGAAATGCAAATTAAAGAGAAATATTATTTTCGCCTATAAATTTTAGAAAGGAATGATAACAATGATGGTGGTGGTAGTAATGATGATTTCAGAAGCAGTAGAGAAAAGAGTGCAGAAAAGTGGGTAACCTGATGAACTGGTGGCAAAAATACAAATTAGTACAACTTACTTGGAAGGAACTATAATCAAAAGCTTTTAAGAGATGTACCCTAAAATATAGCTACATCTAGGCTCATTGAAGAACAATTTAAAAGGACAAAAAGTTAGAAACATTAATTAATAACATAACAATGGAGTACTAGTTAAACAAATTATGGTGTATCCTTAAAATGGAAAATTTAGCAACGATTAAAATGTAGAATATTTAATAACATTGAACAATACTCATGTACACATGTCTGTTAGCTTTGTATCTCTTTTACAATAAAAGGCTGAGTACAGTGTGCTGTGTACATATCAGAGGACAAATAAATTAAAAATGTATACTGGCCCCCAAGTTCATGTCACATATTGCTAAATTCTGAAGATACAGAAATAATTAAGATATAATCTCTGTTATCAAGAAGCACAAATTCCAGTAAGGGAGACAAATATGTAAATAAATAACTACACTATTATAAATGCTGACAATACTGTACATAGAACAAGCTATTAGAAAGATGAGTCAAGGAAGGCTTCACAGAAGAGGTGGCTTGACATGGGAGCAGCTACCAGGCAGACAATGGGGTGGGGTATGCCAGGTAGAATCATCTGAACATTCAAAAATATGGAGAAGGAAAGAATACTGGGTGTTTGCAAAACCGTATATATTACTCACAGACACAGAAAAACTTACGGTTACTAAAGGGAAGAGTGAGGGGGGAGGGACAAATTAGGAGTACAGGATTAACAGATACAAACTACTACACATAAAATAGATAAGCAACAAGGATTTAGTGTATAACATAGGGAACTCTGTTCAATATCTTGGAATAACCTATAATGGAGTATGATCTGCCAAAAAACCAAATCACTATGCTATACACCTGCAACTAACACAATACTGTAAATCAACTATACTTCAATTTTAATAAAGTAATGCTGCAAACAAGAAATGAGGCTGAAAAATAGGTAGGGGTTAGATTATACAGGGTACTTTGTATATTATGCAAAGAAATAACTTATAATTGGACAATGGGAACTACTGAAGAGATGATTAGAACCGATTATTATTATATCAAGATCACTATGGCAGTTATGTAAAAGTGAATTGGAGCGGGGTAACACTGGGGAAAGGAGACCAGTAAGGTCTCTAGTTAAAGATTTAAACACATGCATTTATTGCTGCTGTATTCCCAAACACCTGTGAAATAATAGAAAGGAGATTTTTTTTAAGATAAAGATAAAAGCATAAAACCACAAGGACAAAGACAGTAAGAAAGGAGATAAGAACAAAACTTGGAAAATTGTAACAAGAATCCTAGAAAGGATTTGGAATTAGCAGGCCAAGATAACTCACAGTGCTGAAAGTGGGGCTGAAAGCAGGAATATGAATGATTAAGGAGACCCCTCTTTTCCACCACATCCTACACATCTGGGTGATTCTCCCTACCCAAGCCCAGCAGAAGACTTTTCCTCAGAGAGGGTAAACCAGATGACCTCTGGATTAGGGACACCAGGGAGAGCTGAGAGTAGGGAATTTGTACTAAAAACAGGGATTAAGTTAAAGTTTGTAAGGGATTAAGCAGAAGTCTACAAACTGAACATTGAGTCCCCAGTCCCTTCTTTAACAGCTCTAAGAACATTGGCTTACCACTAGGCTTATTAATCTCTAGCCAAGAATTAGAAGATTCTTCTCTGGAGAATATGAACAACTAAAGAGAAAAATTCTAAAGGTACTGACTGGAGATCCCCCAATGAAAAGGTCTTGCCAAATTACCTTATAGTAAATTAGCAAGCCCTGCCTACAATTTAGTGTCTCATTCTGAAATATAAACAAAAAATATATTCAATATGGACAAAAAAGGATCACCACACATTTGAAGAAAGCCTCTAACATAAGAAAGATCAAAACAAAATAGAAAGATAAAGAAAGCTAAAAGAAAAA